CAAGTTAATGTTTTGAGAAAGGCCTTTTCTTAGAAGCTTCATGAAGGGAATGATTTATAACCTCTGGGACCAGTGTATCAGTCTGATAAAGCAGATCCCTCCACACTTGCCATCTGGACTTTGGTTTCCCTACCTGCAATGACCCAGGTATACAATTCATTCTGATACTGTACGGTGGTGATAAATTAATGTTAGAATGTTTATCAGGGTGGAGAAGAGCCGCCACCTAAGCTGCAAGGTTTTCTGATATACCTCTTTCATTTATTCGTTTGTAGGCCACACCTCTTGAAATATTTGTTTACCTTCATCAGATAGTGTAGCTGTTAGAGTCCTTCTTTTCCTCTGTGTAACCCTAGGAACTAGGTCTGGTCTGATCTGGCCACTGGGAGGCACTGGGCAGACTCTCCTCAAANTTTTAAAAAAAAAAAAAAAAAAAAATCCAGTTTAACCTCTTCCTAGTTTTGTATTTCAAAAAGGTGCACCAAAACACTGACAAATTTTTCCTAGCTAAATCTGTAAAACAAGAGAAGTATATAAATCAAAGAACAAAAGGGCTTAAAAAAGGGAGTATCTGGATAAGAGTGTGTATTAAAATGTTTTGCAGTAATTAAATTCATACCTCTAATTTTGTTGGGTTTGATTACTTCATTAAGAAGTACTGTAATATAAAGGCAAATAAAATGGACAAAGTTGCAAAGCCAAGCACAATGAGGGCTGCAAATTGTTCATCAGTAGGCATCATGCTCTTCATTTTGGGATCATCTAAGTTCCCCATGTCCCCTGTAAGCATGACCTCACTTCGTTGTAACACAAAAGCCGCAGAGGGGCTGAAAGCTCCGCTTAGCTCCTGAGAGGTGTCTAAACAGCGACGACACGCACACACGCGGAACCTGTAGTCTGTGTTGGTCTGGAGGCCTGAGATTTGGAATGTGGCTTCTTCTCCCTTGTACACCTTCGAGAAAAGGAAAAGTCCAAATTAATTCATTTATAATAACGTTGTGGTCTCTAAAGTAATCATCATGTACACATTACATATAAGCCCCAGAAAACCAATTCAGTTCGCTTCTTACAATTCTTCAGATTTATCATTGCTTTTGTTAATCCCTTTCTAAGATTTTAAGCATGTTCCTCTTGGTGAGTTACCCTGTTTCTTTAAAAACTGTGGCACGTGCCTTTGCAACCAGAGTTACAAACAGAGCTGGGCTGGAGCAACTAAGAAGGAAAGAGCTGTAAGAAAACCCTTGTGGTACTGACAGACCATTCCTTTCTCACTGCTCACTACTCCAGAGATGAGTCTAAATGAATGTTTTAAGATGAGCTTGTTGTGGTGGTGATCACCCTAACCCACACACAGCCAGCTGCTCAAAAGTTTAGACTACACTATGATGGACCTGCCTCTCCCAAGTTATTTCCCAACATGTGGGAGGTCTCAGGAAAACAA